AGTGATCCTGGGGCAAAGGTTTAAAGGGGTTGATAGGGATCATATAGGGACGCGTGCGGATACACACAGAGAGAGACAGACAGAGAGAGACAGAGACAGACAGAGAGAGAGAGAGAGAGAGAGACAGAGCGAGGGAGAGGTTGTAGGCTTTGAGATCCACAAGGGCCCAGCTGTTCTTGAGCGCAGTCTATGTATGTCCTATATGCTGGCATTTCGGCTCTACAGAGGGTGCTGGGGGGGTGGTAGTAGTTTGTTGTTGCATTTGGAGTTTAGAGGTGTGTCGCAGGACAGTGGTAAGATTTTTGAGACCATGCCCTTACTCCCTAGCTGCAGCCCAATGACTCTGCTATTCTCTGCCTCTTGGTGCCCATTCTGGCGCGGACGACTGAATAATCAAATGCTCTTGAGGAACCCATTGCGAAAACACTTAGCTCCAATCCTTTGACCGTCATCCCCCCTGTGCCCCGTGACGGGGCCCCCTAGCTGCTGTCCTTGGAGCAGCTAATGGCGACCCATCTGCCTTTCTCCATCCGCCTGACGCTTGAGGGTTTACCGGTTCTGTTAGGAAAATACAAGAGCATAACCGTTCCTCATACTTGAAACGACTCGAAAGGTCAAAGGTCGCAGTTGTCCCAAAGCGAACCTGGAGGGTCAGGGATACCAAGTAAGTACGTCGTAATGGGGTTTACTGGGGCTGTTATGTGGCCTCTAGGTGTTGTAAGTATACCTACTTAGTCGCCCTGACCATGCACTCTTTGAAGCTGGAATCTGCCCATCCAAGCGCCACGCGACAAATCATACTTTAATCGGAACGCTCATACTAGGAATAGTAATCAGCACGGAACCATGGGAAGGAATCTCCCCTTCCTATTTCCTATTTCAACCTCCGCGCCACTAATACTACATATGGTCCCCAATGTATGGGGTTTCCCAGGAAACTACCATATTTGGGTTAGTAAAGGTCGAAGTTGCCTAAGCCCGCAACAGAAGCCTATCATATCAGGTTCAGCACTCCTATACTTTCCGGCTGAAGCTCCGGACTTCAGAAAATCAGCATGGCAAAGCCTTAAGCTTCATTCCCCCGACTCAACTTCAGGAAGCGAAGCCCAACAACCATTCACGGGTTCCCCTACCACCTCACCTTTACTACCCTCCCTTGGCTTCCCCTCAGCCAGGGTTATTTAGGGAGAATTCGTGCTACTTAAGGCTGATTCAGGGGGGACTTTTAGGGAGCTTTTGGGGAGAGCTGCCAGGGAAACACCAAGCTTTAATACTGATCCACACGCAGCAGCACCATGACCCGAAAAGCACCCCTTGCCTCAGTCACTACAGAAGGAGACTGAACCATTACCAAAGTCATGCTGAGGTCTACTTGAGGCACCCCACTCCCGTACCACAAGCTTACAAGGATTCTAGGGACCATAATGTTGCAAGTCTTCTAGGGTTCTACCCATCAATCATGAACATGCGGATCAGGATCGCTTCCAGCCTCCTCCCTTCGAACCCATTACATCTAAGGTCAGAAGTTGGGCTCTTAGGCCTTTGAGAAGGATTCTAGGGACGCTTAGGGGTATTTGTTCTAGGGATAGGAGGTATATGATATCCCAAGGTTCGGGGCACATACTAGGGACCCGTGGTTTCAACCTCAGACTACCCGTCCCTGAAGGGTCGAAGTACCTAACCCACTCCGCCCCATAAGAACCCCCCACAGCCGCCAGTAACAACCCCCGGCCCCCATATAGCACAATTCTGCATTAGGGAGAACAAGTATTATAAAGGAGGTGGGGGGTTGATTCTTCGATGGAGGCGGTTTTTGAACATGTGAACAAGACCAAGTGGACTCCTTTGCAGGTAGTGAGCCCAGAGGGTTTAGGGTTGAGCAGCCTCAGGCTTGGGAACCTAACTCTCGACTGCGCACCTTGGTCTAGCGGGAGAGAGGGATGGAAACCGGCTGGATGGATATCTATCTATCTGTGTGTATACACACACACACCGATATACATCCCCGTAGTAAGACCTATGCTCACCCCCTGCTCCTTTTTCAGCATCCGCTCAGGCTCCAAAGCCCTGAAGACTGCTCAAGCAGACATCCTGAAATCTTGCTTTCATGGGTATAATGTGATTTTCTTGATCTCTTTTGCCAACAACCCTAAACCCGGCTCGCACCCAAGAAGCCTCTCCAGCGAATCCCAGGAGATCCAGAAGGAGGTTTTCTGGCAGGGACGACGGCATCATGGTTTAGGATTTGGGGCTTCCGATTCCTGATTGGGATCCTGCTACGAATCGTCCTATAGTCCCCCTTAAGT